TTATATTTCGTGCATTCCAATAATATTTATTGCAAGTATAAAAAATCCGTCGTTCAAACCTGTAAATGTACCTGGTGCTCAGCTTAAATGCCCGTATAAATGCCAATTGGCCTACAACGCAACTATCATTGTATTGAAAAATGTATGAACAGAAACGCAAAAAGAAAAAAAAATTCATAGGAAACTATGAATTCGACACTTGGGGAAGTTTTGTAACGGTTATAAAAAATAGACGGTATGTGAAGTTCGTAAAGATAAAACGGAGGGAATATAATAGGAGCGGGCGCACTCGTCGTTCGATAAATAAAGCAATTAGCTGAGGAAAATCGTTTAGGAAAAAACTTTCCCACACTTGGCGCATGCAAACATCACTACGCATCGATCGCGCCAATTTGAATGTCTCGCTCGGGCAGGTCGCGCAAAAATCGTACGATCAGTTGGCCCGTCATGGGCTGCCGAGCCCTTGGCCGCCTAACGGTCGTTAGAGTCATTTGAGAAATTCCTTGAGTTTTATCACGCGGTGCTCGCAAACTGACGGCCACCCGCATTACGCCCTGGAAGTGAGATCATAAATCTTTGAAGAACTCGGAAGATCGACTTCCCTACCTACTCCTATGCTTCGTGCGATCTGCTTTTTTCTTCTTCATTTCTCTTTCCTTGTTTCTGGAGGCGTACCGTTGCGTACGGGAGTGTGGCATTTTCGCGCGCAATGGGATCCGCAATGAGGAATTCACGTGTGGATGCTGCACCAAGATTTTGCGCGATGTAAATTACGTTGGCTTTTTATTTCGTTTTGCGGTTGAAAGTCCTACTCGATCGTGAGTAAGTGCTCGTAGCCTTTGGTATGCCTCAAAGTAATTTTTTTCGTCGCTTATTTCGGCGGTTTCATCTTCCTGCCTGCGATTTGTACATTGTTAATATTATATTTGTCGTGTATGTTCTTAATATTGTATGTTTTAACCATGACATAGAAGACAACTTAAAACTACTGCCAATTAAAAATTTTGACAAATGGTTTTTTTCATCTCTTTGAAATACTTACTTAAAGCGGTACTTGTTTCAAAAGTATTGAATTTAATTGTATTAATTGTATTAATTGTCTGAAAGATTTTTACTTCAGTGAAATTGTTTTTACTATATGATGTTACCATTAAAGTTCGCGAATAATCGTTTCGTGTAACTCTTTCCTCTCGCTTTTGATATTTTTAGTCGAAAGTGAACTGTTTCACAGCGGCCAACGTGGAACGTTCAGGTGCGGTTTCAATCCTTCTTCCCAAATTATTGCTCGGTAAAGTTCCTTTAATCCGACAAATCCATCCTGTCGCCGCAAAACCGTTATGTGCATTATTTAAGAGACGCGTGCATTTATTCGCGCGCTGCCGCACAGCCGTACAAAATGTCTGTCGCAATGTACATACTCGCGACGACACGTGAATTCATGCGCTGGTTGTAAATTTTGCCCTCTCCGCGTCTTCTAAAAGTCAGATAGAAAAAAAAACGAGAAAGAGAGAGAGAGAGAGAGAGAGACATAGAAAGAAGAGCAAATATTAGGTTAATCAATCATTTAGTGAACGTTCGAATAATGCTATATATAATGACTTGCAATATTAATAGGTGCATATTAATAAGTGCTACACTTTAAATATCTTAAGTCCCTTATTTGGATATTATATGGATAATTATAAATTCATAAAACTACTAATATCCATGATTGGAGAAATTATATTTTTTGCTTCTATTTCATGTATCTTTTATATAAACTTTCTATTTAAAGAGCTCAGGAATAATATGATTTTTCAAAGAAATTGCTTTTGGAGTTAATGAGAATGTTGAAAGAATTTAGTTCAAGTTCATGAAGTCTAACGAGAAACTCTATTAAGCTTATTTAAGTATTAAACTAGTATAATGTTTGAGCCAATTAGCTAATATACAAGTTGTATTTACTTCCAATACATTTCGTGAACTTTCATAAGAATAATTTCGACTATTTTTTACCTCCCTATTAAAAAAGCCGTTTTTGAATAAAAAATAAGAAAGAAAAAAAAGAAAGAAAAGGAAAAATTGCAACTGGTCATGCATTTATGTTAAATGCATGGCGCTTGACAGCTACTATCGATTCGGCAACTTCCATCATCAAGATTGAGTTTTCGCATGATAAATGGCGTAATCCGGTAAAGCGTTAATAATCAATGTAATATCCTTAACTAGCCGCAAAGAAAACAAGGATCAACTTTCATATCCCTTTTAAATAATCGAGCATACGCGCGAGCGACCCGAATTCCATCAGCTGCACCTCTTGTCGCGCGTGACGAATATGCCGCCGCAACCTCATTCGCATGTTAAATTGAAAATTCGAGTCTCACGGTGTGTAGTAGTAGTCCGTCGGTTCGTCGCGCGAATTCTCAGACTCTCATTGCAAAGTATCGGCAACGGCTGTTTTAACATCGCGGGCGCTCTCCACTCCTTTTTACGTAACGATCGTAAGGGGTGGGGATCATAGAGGGCGAGGGGTAGGGGGAGGGCAAGCGTTTACCCGCTTCGCGGAATTTTCAGTGGGAGATGATAGAGACAGAATGAGAGAGATCTGTTCCAGACGCGTCACGCATCGGTCGCGCCGATCGCGCGCGGGCAACGGAGCGAACGAGATAGAAATATGGTAGCCTGGGATTCGTTCGAACGCGTCCTGACGAGTACAAAGGCGGACTCTCGAGGAGGCGGTCTTGCCATTTCTTTCTTTCCATTACTCACGTCTTCGCACGTCTCTACTCTTTTCTTCGAGAATGCACTACCCTGGTTGTCGTATCGCTCTCAAGATTGATAGAAAGAAAGGTGAGAGGGATAAAGAGACATAGAAAGAAACAGAGAGATAGAGAGATAGAGAGATAGAGAGATAGAGAGATAGATAAATAGATAGATAGAAAGAGAGAGAGAGAGAGAGAGAGAGAGAGAGAGAGAGAGAGTGTGTTCATGTGTACGCGCATAAAGAGAGCAAGTGAGTTAAGGGGCGGAGGGAGGGGATAGTAGTTGAATCGCTTTTTGCGCACGAATGCTATGCTTTACAGGCAGGTGTGCTTGGAACTAGACAAAACTTCCTTCTACATTGTATATCTTATCTTTACGAGTTGAAAAGATATTTTAAAGCTGTACTTTCATTTTTAAGTAAAACTCGCAATATTTTCTGTGGAATTTTCGCATATTTACATATCAAATTCCACATAAAAAATATCGTAAATATTGTTGAAGCATTCAAAGCAGAGTCGCGAAAAAATTAAATATCTCCTTGATATTTTAAACATTCTTACTTTAGAAAATTACGTAAACCATGCGATTTCAAGTTTCTCAAAACAAAATTTGATCGATTTACTTTTCTTGACACCCACGCATTCTAAAATCCTAACAAAGGGTAAAGCGACAAGCGTGCAAAGGAAAGGAAAGAATGCGGGAATCTCACCACCCGAGTGTTATCCGGACCGTCCAGAAATCGAGTGGCGTTGCGCATTGAAGAAATATACATAGGATAGGAAGTAACAGCGTCGCGGTGCTTTGGAGGCGTCCTGTGTAACGTCAAAGAGACGCGAGCCGGAATTCGTAAATATACAATGTTCGTATCGAGCTCGCATGGCCCGTGTAGAAAAGCAGAAGCTAGACAAAACGAACTTGTGAGCCAAATTTATTAAGAAAAGGAGAAAAACGGAACCTCTGGCGCCCGCTTACGATGACGTCGTCCCACTCGCGCTAAGTAGATAAGATCGCGAGGCGCTCGATACGCATCGCGGCATAATCTCAATATCCTCCGATACCCTCGACCCATCGGATAAAAATAAGTGTAATAGTTGGAGATTTTTTTACCATCGGCTAAGCTGAGGACAAGGAAGGTAAATATTTATTAGAGTTCTTGAGTGGTGAGCTGAAAATAAATTGAACCGCGTCGACAAGCAGGCAAATTTATGATTTTTCACCCATTCTTTTTTGCGTATTTTCCATTTTATTTTTTTATATTTATATTTTTTCTTTTCATATTTTTTTTCCTTACGAATTTCTTCGTCCTAACGAAACATTTTTCACTCTATTTTTTGCACAAATGTTCTAAAATCGATTTCTCCTTCTTCTTGTCGTGTGAAACATCTGTTACTTATAGAGTATCGCAGAAATTTTACATGCAAATAATGTTTGCCAACATATTTTCATTTAGGTAACGTGAGAATTTTTATTTTACTTATAATTTCATTTTTTTAACATTGAACAAAGTGTGTAATTTTTAATGTACATTTTTCAACAACATAATCTTTTTCAACAAAAACTTCATTTCATTAGTAATATTATTGAATAATTTAGTGGAATTCTTAGCAAATCCTCAAGACAATTAATATTACAATTAATAGTAAAGTAAAGTACAATTAATATGAACACTAAACCCTTCAATATTACATTGGCCTTTTAAGAGTCAGATTGGATTTTAGAATTTTATTAATTAGTTATTGTTCGTAAATATGTGTAAGCATATATGTTCGTAATGTAAAAATATTAATTTGTATGTTCATTGCTTAGAATGAATATTTAAATTAAATTTAATTTAAAGAAAATCGAAAAAAGACGATTGAATTTATAAATATCCTAAAATTCTAATAAATTTATCTTTTTATCTTGTATATCGGTAACAATATTAACATTGCCTAATATAATGTATGATATATGTAATCACAAATACAAGTGTTTGTCGAACGAGCTAATTAAATTATTTGGATGTTAGTCTGCGAGGTAATGATTCCATTTGAATTCGAATGAATCTAAAAAGTTTCTGTATAAAGTTCAAATAAACTTAAATTTAAATGAATGGCAATGAGAAATCTGTAATTGTATGAGCTGTCGCATCGTAAGGAAAAGTTAGCAAACCTGTTAACTTTATACTATAACTATTGGAAACAAAGAAACATAAATATTCTGAATATGTTATAACACAGATTTGTAAAGATTGCGTTCATTTATTCATTTCAGGACTCGCAAAACGGCCCGGTGCTGGACCGATGGAGTATCTGCTCGGCTGAGGAGGAGCCGCTGGTCCTACAGCAGTTCCTCAGATTTGCCGAGACGCGTCCCTTCGTGCAGCAGCTCCTGCTCGCCGCAGGTGGTGGCGCTGGTGGTGTTTCGTCCGGTTCATCGGATGTTATGTCACCGAGCAGGCGACCGTCGCCCCCGACGATGCCGTTAGCTCATCTACCGCCACCGCTGCATCTATTGCACTGTGGCCTACCACCCCCGGGTTCGAGACTGCCACATCCTTTGCCTCCGCCCCCACCCCACTCAATATCGCACTCGTCCTTGTCGCCAACGACTCAGAAGCACTATACCTCCTCGTCGGGTAGCTCCTTGACTGCAAGCAGGGCGAGTTCTCCACCAAGATCTCTCGAGGCGGCTGGCTGTAACTTTACTTCACCGCTCAATAGACTACAGAGTATGCAGCCCTTTGACTTCCGGAAGCTTGGCACCCTAGGCTTACCGGCATTCCCGCCGATACCGGCGCCTCCGTCCACCGAATCTCTACTGCATTCCTCACGCAAATCATCATCGAGACACCCGCAGAGTCCGCACAGCCCGACATCGCTAAGGCCTCCCGTCCCCGTGGCTGCAGTTTCCTCGTCTTCGCTGGCGTTCGGCCATCCACTAGCTGTAGCGGTCTCGTCGGGTGCTCTGCCACCAAGCTTCCATGGACACTATCCACCATCAATTATGAGTAAGGCCTCCAGCATAGGTATGGCCGCTTCGAGCGTCGACGTGCACAGCGGCGGAGAAAAAAGCAGCGAATTTGGCTCCGATGACGACGAAGACGACGACGAGAATTCCGGAAGTGCGCTTAACTTGAGTAGGAGAGATACAGCGGCGAAGCATAATTCTGAACAACAGCGGCATACATCCATGTCTATGCACCACGCTCCTTTAGGTAGACCACCAGGTGTTCCGGGAAGGAAACCAAATTCACCAGGGAAAAGACATCAGTGGGGGGCATCGCCGAACATACCCCCGAACCTAGGCACACCCTTCATCAATCCCGCTACTGGAAAGAAGCGAGTTCAGTGCAATGTCTGCCTGAAAACCTTTTGCGATAAAGGCGCATTGAAGATTCATTTTAGCGCAGTGCATCTAAGAGAAATGCATCAGTGCACAGTCAAAGGATGTAGCATGATGTTCAGCTCGAGGCGCTCAAGGAATCGTCATAGTGCCAATCCGAATCCTAAATTACACTCGCCGCATCTTAGGAGGAAGATTTCGCCGCACGACGGTCGTTCATCCATGGCTCATGCCCTAGTTCTACCACCGCAGGCCGGACTTCCACTTCCGCCAAGTGGTTTGAATCATCTACCTTTCGGATCGTTTCCCCTGCTTACTCCGCCTCCGGATCTCCGTTCGCCGGCCTCGCTTTGCGCTCTGGACTTCAAGCATCTTGATCTCTCCTCGACCCAAAACCAAGCGAGATCGTACGAGGAAGCCGTTGCTCAGCAACGAATGGCAACGTCAACCGTAGCTGGCACGACGACCGCAACTACAACGAGCATTCCACCATCGACTTTATCGGTTAATACAACAATAACTACTAGAGCGTCGAGTGCTTGCAACGTCTCCGTTATTTCACCTACATCGCAAAACCGATCTGTAACTCTAGATGGCGAGGACGACGATGACGACGACGATGACGATGGCATTGTCGTGGTCGGCGATGATGACGGAATTTTACCGACAGGATTACCTAGCTTGAGAGATGATAATGATCAGCCAGCTGACTTTAGTTTGGCGAAGCGACCTAAACTTTTCCTCGGTGACCACGTGGACGACGAATTAATTAGCAACGCTGATAGCAACGAAGATAACGATTCCATGAGTACAGTCGATCAACACTCATATACAATAAATGCTCACTCGCTTAATTCGGCCTTCCATAGCCGAGGAGTTAGAAAACGAAAATCTCAGCATCCGACGAGATGCACCGTTCCCGCTGAGACGCATTCATCGTCAACGGATGGAGACTCCTCGAACGATGCAGTCTTTCAGGATCAACCGGAAGACATGTCGATGTCACGATTAGAGGCTGAAGATAGAAAACACTCTCCTTCACCGAAGGAGCAACGTGTGGCTAGCTCGCCAATTACTCAAAATGATTGCAACTCTAGATTATCCGACTTACAACGCGAAACAGAATCAACATCGGCCAATGATGGAGAGAAGAAACGTCGATCGGAACACTTGCAAGATGAACCGCGGGACTTAAGCTCGCGAGCAAGCAGCGCCAGATCATCCAAGAGTCTGGCTAGTCCAGAATCAAAGTATTCAACTTATCAAGATCTCACACTTAAAAGTCTAGAAAATACTTCGGCTTGGGAACTAAATTCTAGCGAGACATCGACGGACGGCAAAAGAAAAAGTTCCAAACATTCAGAAAGGAATTCGATGACTGGCGAAACGGAAAAATCCTTAAAAATAAAGGAGGAGGGTAGAAGATACGAAGAGAAGCTTCCCAAACAGCGTGACAATGAGAACGAAGAGCCGATGGACGATGTCCCGGAGAACAGCGGTAGCAACATTCTTGACGAGGATATGGAGGACGAGGACGCCGAGGCAGAAACAGAGACCGAGGAGGCTGAGCGAACGCTACGCAATCAAGAAGGTGAGCCCACCCTGGTTACCTCTCGTGCCCCAAGCTCGATCGACAGCCACCCGACCACTGCCGACGACCTATCCCTCGACTCCTCGAATGCTTTGCGTCAACTCGAGTCCTTGTCGCAGGGTCGCATCACGCTGCCGTACGGCTTGGCGGCGCGGGAGGTGGAAGTGCTGGAGGAGGAGGAGGAAGTCGAGGAGGAGGAGATGGAACAGGGGGCGGAGGAGGAGGAGGAGGCGGTGGAGGAGGAGGAGTCCACGGAGGAGGAGAAGGTGCCTTCGAGGTCTGGCCATCGCTCTATCAGCCCCGCCAGCCTCACGATGCACCAGGACATCACCCTGGACAACTCCTCTCATGGCTCACGCTCATCCAGCGCCTCGCCCTCCACAGCGGCCATGGATATGGACAATAGTCTCGTGGCTTACGCGCGTTACGAGAACGGCGGCTTCGTCGTCAGCGGACAGGACGTGCCTCTGGACCGAGAGAATCCCCGCAGGTGCACCGCCTGCGGCAAAGTCTTTCAGAATCACTTTGGCGTCAAAACCCACTATCAGAACGTGCACCTCAAACTCATGCACAGATGCAGCGTCGAGGGCTGTAACGCGGCCTTCCCTTCCAAACGCTCGCGCGACAGGCACTCGGCCAATTTGAATTTACATAGAAAGCTACTCTCTACGTCGTCGAGTCCGCCGCTCTCGACTTCACTGCCGTCAAATCTCTCTCCAAGAGCCGATGACCCGCAGCTAAATCCGATGCTGCATAGCGAGTTCCTAGCGAGGCTCTACGCCGATGCCGGAATCGGTCCACTCGGACCCTATCCCCTTGCGCCGGCTGGTTTGTCCAGTGCCGCCATGGATTTGGCTGCCAGGATTCCGGCACCCCATCCATTGTTGCTGCCAACGCAGTTAGGTGCCACATTTCCTGGACTCTCTTCGGCTTTTGCCAGTCACTTTGCCGGGTTCAACGGCTTGGCACATCAGCGTCTTAACCATCTGAACCAGCTGACAAGGCTGGCGCATGAGCACGATAACCGTCCTGCAGACTCGCCGGACTCGCCCTCGAATGCTGTTTTAGACGAGCGAAGGAATGTCGGCAAAGAGGAGGCAAGATGCACGGTGCCGGGCTGTCAACGCGTCTTCATATCACAGGCCGTAAGGGATGCACACTCGCGTGACCCCCAAGCTCACAGGGATCTGCCGATTATTTCATCCAGTGGGTCGTGACCGTTTCTAATGCATCGCGCAACGATGCCGCTTGGGCGGGTCTATCCATTACTGTGATGCCAAAACGCTGATGTTTTATGGAATTATACTGTGCAATAAGCTACGATAGGAGTCGGAAGGACTTTTCTTTTCTTAGACGTATGTGATGATGTCCTTCTTTCTCGATTTCGCCATGATTTATGTAGCGGCGAATCGCTTTGTACTATACCTCCAATGAGCAGTGTTTTCATTTCATGGATGACACTTATAGTCTGAAAAAATTGTATAAATGATTTAAAGAGTATGTTGTAAGATAAAAAAAACTGAACATAATAACCTCGAATAGCTCTCCATCGTTTACGAGATAATGTTTCGTCCTCATTTTAAGAGTAGTATAATAGCGCGTTAAATCGTGCAGCTCGTTGTGTTATGTGCAAATTTTGTTCGTTATAAGCTTCGCGTAATGAGAAATTATAAGACAAAGATATTTCAAAAACGCGATCGGCCGAGTATTTCCAAAATATAAAAAAAAACGATAAGGGTAAGGCGGCGGCAAAAATGTCAGCGTTTGGCCCCTTATCGTTATTGTGATAACGTCAATGGTCTGTAGCAAAAATAAGAAAAAATATGCTGTCTGCTTAATCCATTGAATAAATTAGTATCATCACTGTATATACGCACACCTAATCGATGTATCGCGTAACAATTGTTAAATTATATGGAATTTAAATGCATGTATATATATATATATATATATATATATATATATATATAGAGAGAGAGAGAGAGAGAGAGAGAGAGAGAGAGAGAGAGAAAGAGAGGAAAAATTAATGAACCAATCGGATAAGGAAAGCACCACGTATTGTAATAATAATATCGAAGTGACGACATGATACATCTCATAGCTTCAAGCTGTGGATGTTTATGTATCTAATCGGAAAATAAATTTATTGATCACATGATAGACGTAGATTTTTTCAAATGTGAAACGGAAAATAAAGTATTCGGCGAGAAAGAAAAGCAAGGTGACTTAGCGATAACCGCGAAAGCGAGTTGACAAAGATCGACCAGTGAATCAAAATGATGGACACGTGTCTTGCACTCTAGATAAAATGAGAATAGATTGATTTTATTTATTGTTCCATTATTGGGAACGCCTACCGCTACGCGGAAAATAGCAAAATTAATTGAAATAAGACGATTCTAACTGAAAAAATCTCATAAAAAAACCTTTTATGAAAATAAGAATTTTTATTTGGTTTTTACAGCCATGATCTAACATTTAACTCCTCGCGATGTAGTATATTATTTTACAATATTATTAGTAAAGCTAAATTTATTTATTGTATAATAAAATCATTTTCTATAGACTGAACTACTTAACTTGTACTAGGTAACATTTAAATAATTAGGGAACTGTTCTGTTTCACTTAATTTTGCTGAGTGCACATAATACTCAATAGGAATGGAGTCTCAACGGCCAGTAGCGGGCGACTGCCGTACGCAGGACTTCCTCCTTTCTCTAGAATAATGAATCGAGGCATAGTAAAATAAAATAAAAGAAAAAGATCACCGATATAACGCCCAAAATTTGCGGCACTTTAAATGCCGTTAATGACTTTTTATTATATCCGTGTAAATATATTGCGTTTAATTTTTATCGTACACTATACACAAATACACGTACAAACACAGTTATACTCTTATTCACATACACACTTCGATGGCGCGTTGATATCCGTCGCTCGAGTAAAGGACTTTTCTACGTGTCTACCTTGTAGGATTTCATTTTTTTGTTCTTCTCGCGTTTCTCTCTTTATTAAGATTTACGGAAACACTGGCAAATGCATATATATTCGTACACTTATGCATGCACATATATATGCACGTCACCATAAACATATAAACATGTACACAAATAAATATAAGCACGCAAGTATCTACACTGACGCGTTCCTTGGCGTATCAGCGGAAGGAGAACGCGCGTGCGCAAATTTCTCGATCGCCTGGTGTGAAAAAGATGAGTGTTAAGATAAAAGAAGTGAGAAGGAGAAAGAGAAATAAATACACACACACACGCGCGCGCCGAGAGAGAGACAGATAATGAAATGGAGAGGGGGGAATATTGGAAGTCGCGAAAAGATCGATTTTACAACTATTAAACGTTAAGAAAGGTGAGCGATATCTACGATTGTAATTATGTATAAATTGAAACGCTACGATGTATTATATATTATAGATCGATTATAAAATGAACATTCATCATTATGAAAAAATAAATACCTACGAAAATTAAAGTTTATGTTTTGCAGTGATGTGTCTACCTGTAATTACATGCGAATTATCACCAATCTCTTGCATCAACTACTTCACCGCTCCGCCCTTCCCTTTCACAATCCTCGCAACCTTTGCCTTCCTATTCGGTTTAGCACGTTTCTTTATTTATTTTCTCACCGCGTCGGAACTTAGCCCGGCTACCACCACCACTATCACTACCGCCTCCATCGTCGCCGCCGCCGCCACCGTTGCTGCCGCTACCACTACCATCACATTTGGCCGCCGTTTCTGATTTCACGAGCGGGGCGCATGCGACGCCTCGTCCTCCCTGGCACGCAAAAACGAAGAGTCGCACGCGAAAGCAACTGTCCTGGCCACGCCTACGATCGACCCCGGTGCTGCCCTTGTTCTTACTCTCTCTCTCTTCCGTTGAAGCTTCGGAGATATTTTTGAAATGAAAAGTAGTCGTTCGTTAATCAGAGACGCTCGCAGGAGTGCAGCACCGGGACCCTTGTATAAATACGTCGCCTTGAGAAATGATCTCTTTGTCTTTCTGACTTTTTATTTTCTAGTGTATCTCTTACTCCTTATTCTGGAAGACTAAAGGATATTGCTTTTCTTTGGATGGGCTCTCTAGATATCGCATAAATTGCCTTACCCTTTCACTAGTTATTCATAATCCTGAATTTTCGGCATTCTTCTTGGGAAAATCGGCGGTAAATAACCAAAGAATTACGTGCACGATGTACCTGCGATACATTGCACTATGATATTACATAAATTTGATTTCTATAATTATAAGTACAATAATAGTTTAGACAGTTGCAATTGTTACTTTAACAAGGTATCGTTACGTTAACCAGTCTTTAGTTTTTTAATCATATAGAATTACGATAAATTATACGAAATAGATGCGGACACTTGGACGATGCAAAAGTTAAAATTAGATGCCTTATTTGAAAACCACATAAGCAAAAGTGTATTGGAAACCGGTTTTCATTTGTGACATAAATTTTCATAGACATTTTAAGGACTAATCGTAAAAAAACGCGTAAAATCTGTAGAAAAATAAAAAATTCATTTCTTTTGCTAAGAATGTATTTATTATATTGAATGTTTCCAATGTTGTTGATTGTCACAAATTGGGATATTTCACTTTGATAATTAGTTACAAGCTCACCTCTATTTATTATTTTCGGTTATAGTAACACGTCAAGCTAAGCTGGATGGCCAGTATTTCCTAATAAACGTTATATCAGGCAAGTTTAGGATCCTATCTATAATCCAAAATTATTTAAAAAATTTGTAATTGTATGGTTAAAATGCCGGAAATAAAGCTTTGACCTTACGTCTTACGAATGAAATTTAATTAGTAATGCGTAAATTATTTTATTGTATTTTTTTCTTACCTAACATCAAATTAAATAAAAAAAATATGCGAATCTTAATATGTATGAAACGAAAGTTTGCTAATAAAAATAATACCGTTAGCTTATAAGTGAGTTTCGTAAAAAATAATTAATAATTACATGTCAATTTGGGTAAAAAAGTACACGATTTGGACATAAAACCAACATTTTTAATAAAACGAGAGTTTCGCTAAGAATGCATTTAAAAATAAATATTTCTCTTCTAGTCAGATGACTTGACGTGAAAAAAAACCACTAATTGCCGCGGTTCTTTTGTAATTCTTTAACATGCCACGTCACAATTGTAATTTTATAGCCCGTAATTATAAAAACTTTATATGTACATTCACTCGCCGTAAATATGTTCACAGTAATCCAAAGAAGTCCTGATGCTTTTATTCACCCAATGCGAAATGAGAACTATTATCAAAAATAAATCTGCTTATTATCTTGCCGCATAAAATACTTGATAAATCTTTTGACAAACGGATAAAAAAATCCGACTGACATCGAAACCCGCTCGGCACGATAATTAGCTGTACAAGAGAATACCACGACGACGACGGACTGAGGAGAGGAGCGAAGAAACAAGATGGTCCACAGTAAATCACTTAATTGCACAGAACTTCAAGTCCGCGCACTCGTTTCTTCGCTTTTCTTTTTACAATTTTTATCCGGGAGAGCGCGCGTCGCTCTTAATCGGCTTGACCTTCATTCCGACCTCTAATCGATTCTCTCAGGATGATGATTAGATACATGGACTTTTAGTTCAACGGCACTTGGATCGAGCTTGACCTTCTTGCATGTCAACTCGTATACGTTAAGGACACCTTCGAGTAAGTAACGGCTCAACAGGTGTGTATATGCATTTCGAAGGGAGACTTCATAATGCAAGTGTATTTACCTATATGCACATCGTCGGGCATACATTAAGCTGGTTGAGAAAAAAGTTGTTTGCATAATGAGCTATAATTATAAATGCACTTGCGACAATATTAGATACTCCTGATTCTTTTTTTGGCTTTTTCCACTTTTCTCTCCTTTCTCTTTACTCTCTTTATTTATAGGCTTGAGTGTCGGAGAAGGTTCCCACAAACCATTACTTAATAGGATACGCGTTAGTCAAATTATAAGAAAGGAAAGATGACAATCAGAGTGTGCAGATTCTGTACAATGTAAGTTCTTATTAGCAAGATTATTGGCGTGAAATAAAAAAATTAATAATTAATTCAAGATGAATAAAGTTTGCTGAGTAGTCTAAGTAAATTCGATTAAGTCTTTAAACAATATTTTAGAAATCTGTATTTACTGTCAGCATCAGATTTCTTAAAAAAATATTTAGAGATTATATATTCGAGTAAAAGTTTTATTATATTATTTATCATACAGCTCATTCGAACGCTGACCTTACATTATTTAATTAAAAACAACGATACTCTACTGGATCAGGTTAAGAATAGAATATCAATTGATTTTACATAACATTATTAATTTATGCTGTGTTCTTGATAATATCTTATTAAACAATTATAGAATATCGTAAAGTAATGTATGAGCTATTATTATATATAAATATATTAATCGTTAAAATTAGGAAAATTGACAGTACTATGTCAGTTAATTTTCTACCTTCTTCCATAATATAGATGCATATGCAAAATAATAAATCAACCAGATATATTAAGTGCTCTTTTCTTAAATATGGTGATTTATTTTTATCTTTTTCGATAAATTCTATTCACTTGTACAGATTACTCGTCGATATTTAAAATGATAAATCGGCATCTTAATAAGTTAAATATTTCATATATCACTTAAACACTTAAAGAACTAAGTTATGCATATTATTCAATTATATGTACATAGGTTCATTATCAAAATATATCAAATTATAAAATAAAATTAACTCAAAGATACAAATAAATTACATTTAATACTGTTGATAATTACTATAAACGAGATTAATCACGACAATGTATTGTGAAAGGTATGTGTATTGTAAAACTACATTAAAATACAATTGTTATTAATTTACTAAAAAAATAGTAGTTTCACATGATTATATTATTATATT